CATCAATCTTCAATCGATGTTCTAAGGTAATTCAGTATATGAGTATACGCCATATACTCATATACTCGAAATTTTTTTTTTTTACCCCGTTTTTAACTATTTCGAAAACTGCGATAATGACTATTATTTCAGATTTATTTAAAAAACTATAGTGATATAAATGGGCAATAGGTATGGTGGTAAGCATTTTTAGCTATTGTTTATCATGTTTAATTATTATATATTTTTTCATTTTTATTTGGGTCAGTGTCTTCTGTTATATAGCTTCGGATTTCTTGATCAAATCTTAATTATGATTAAACTTTGATCAGTAAATTTAAGAATTTGTCCTCAAAGCCCTATAATAGTAAACACTAACCTATTTCAAATTTTTAACTAATCTATATTCGGCCTAGTTTCAATTTTAATTGTAAATAAAAAACAAGAATAATTATGCGTTCACTTTGTTTTATATTTAATTTTAATTGAAACTCTTCGAATGTCGTTGATAAAATTTTATGTGCATTTTATATAATTAACTATGGATGTCAAACTGCAGAGTTGTTATATTGCTGATTATTGAAAAATAGAATGAGAAAATATTTTCTTAGTACCTCAAATTCAGAATTATGTAATTAAAGCATGTGCTCTAATCGTTTCAATAGTATTTACAGATTTTAAAACTGACTATGATTAGTGTTCTAATCAGTTCAATAGTATTCACTTGCGGTATATTGATACAGTAATATAAACATTTTATATTTTAGCATTAGGGACAAAATTTATTTTTAGCAAATATATAATATAATAAACATCTGGCTAAATTTATTTCAAGGTTTATTTACATATTGTTAACTGAAACTATAATCATAAAATCGCAATTAATGAAATGCATGTAGCCGAAGAAAACTGATATTGTAATCAGCATTTTTTTTATTTTTTGGTTTTTTTTACTAATATGAAAGTGAAACAATTGTTTATTTTAGAGTACTATATATTTTAAATAAGCAGCTGATTACATTTTAGTATAGTATTATAGAAAGTCGACTAAGCTGATTTTTGAAAAAATCGACTGACTTAGCTGACTAAGTTGACTAAGTCGACTAATGTGCTACTAACTACAAATACTAGTGTTAGGTTTGCCTATCTTTTTTTTGCTTTTTTCATTTTTTTCCTTTTATATATAGATAGAGTTTAGGGTTTTGTTCAATTCTTGTTTGTATATGCCTTAAATTTTTAATCTTTTATAAATTTTGGCATTATTTTCTTCCTTTATACAAACATAAGAGATTTAATTATTTTGCCAGGATTTAGATAAAAAAAGTTTTAAAAGAAGATAGGTAATTTTGACAAGGTAGACAACAATCTGTTCATAATCATTTAGTTAGTACAAAACTCAACGAAGTGTTGAATCCTGAGTAAGACTAATAGTTGTTTTAGCGGGTCACATTGGGCATTTTGCTTGGTGAGTTTTTATTAAATTAGAATATTACATTTTAAGAATGTGAGTACGTTGTACTTTTATTAATTAGTAGTTTCAATGAATAAAGACAAGATTGCTTAAAAAAAAAAAAAAAAAAATTAATATGTTAAATAAAAAAATAAAAGTTTAAATTAATGAGGCGTGGCGGCTTAGTGAAGTGGTCTAGTCGTCACCCTCTCCAAGCGGCAGGTCTAGAGTTCAAATTCCACAGACGATGATTTTGAAAATAGATTTGTGTTTTGGTAACCTGTATAAGATGATTGGATTAGGGTATCTGTAACTTAAGTCACACTAGGGTGTAGTATTCCTGGAAGATCCGCTGGCATTCATACAACTGAGGAAACTCGGGGACCACGAAAGAATGCAAACTGGCTTAGGGCGGTGCAAACTCTCGATAAGTCCAAAATTGTGTAAATCTTAGGAATCTCTTTCGTGTACAGGAACCCATTTGGGAAGTCCCAAATTAATATTAGTGGCTACTTTCGACGGTATTACAGAGTAAAGACTATACTGGGAACTCAACCGAAGGCCTGGCAATCATGACCCTTATAGGCGGGTTACACCAACCTGGCCATTGGAGGATGAGGGGACTCCACAGGCTAACTGGATTGGAAGAAGAGATGTCTCTGGAGCCAAACTCATGCGTCAGGAAATGTCGGTACTGGGGTTGGTTATGAACTTAATAAGGGCAGAAATAAAGTAATGAAGGACTAATTAGGAAGATTGTACTTGAGATACAGATTGTGTTATGGCAGCATCCCAAAAGATGGCTTGAGATACAAACACAATAACAGCAGACAATATGTATTAATTGGGAAGTAATTACCGAACGAGCATGCACTATCATGTGTGGGACATGTAATGCGATATTAGGTTTACCTCGAGGATGATCTAGATAGTCCTAAGCCGGGTTGTAATATATATAGTTAAAATCATTGTAAATACTACTAACCCTGATTTAACTATAATAAAATTCACTAACCAAAGAGGTCACCTTAAAGAGAAAAAAAAAAAAAAGTTTAAATTAATTAAGATTAAAAAATCGATTTTGCTAGCCAATTAACTTTTAAAATCACATGTAAAGTTTGTAACTCAAAATTACAAACTTATATTATATGATTTTAAAAATTTGATTGGCTGGCAAAATTTTTGTATAATATTTTTTTCATATTTTTTAGTGTTTTATTTTTAATTAAATAATTGTATTTGCAACCACGATTGCTAAAGCCATCTAATTTATTATAAATTTGAGTTTGTATCAGGCTTAGATTTATAAATTGACTGGCTTTAGTATTAGCTATTGCAATTACAATAATTAAACAAAAAAAAATTAACTATAAAAGTTACAAAATTATACAAACTGCAATCAAAGAATAATATCATAGACAGACTTTTGTATGATTGGCTGTTTAAATCAATTTAATTTTATATTATTTATTCAGTTTAAAGTACTTTTTAAAAAAAAGAAAACTACAAAGAATAAACAAAGAAGTATATAGAAAATTTTATTAGCATTGTAAAACTCCACTATTAAAAATAATCAAAATTCTTTTTTGTTTTAGAGAAGTTAGCATGGTGATAACCTAATTTTATGAAGTCACTATTATGCTAACTTCTCTAAAACAAAAAAAGATTTTGATTATTTTTAATAATGGAGTCCTACAATACTAATAAAACTTTCTATATACTTCTTTTTTGTTTATTTTTCATAGTTTTTTTTTTTTTAAAAAGTACTTTAAACTGTATAAATAATATAATTTAAATAGCCAATCATACAAAAGTCTGCCTATGAAAGAATACAAGGAGAAACTGTCCAAACATAGATATGATTTTATTCTCTATTATACAGACAAAATATCACTATGAGATTAGTCAACCAATCAAATTACAAAATTTATAAAAAGACGAAACCATGGGATTCAAGAGATTTAAAAAATATATTGCAAAGCAAAGTGAGAGCTTTATGTTTGTTTAACTATTTTAATTCATAGAAAAGATAAGTCAAGCGAGCTTTTCAAAAAAGTATTGTAAAATAATATAAAAAAATTTTCATTAATTATAACAGTTCAAAGAATCGATAATTTTTGATTCTAATAGCAATTGAAGTATCTTTTGTAGAAATATATTTTGTATACTATTCATGTTATAAGAAACTTGATTGTATAATATTTAATTTTGTTTCTTTTCTAGTCTGGTAAAATTTACTATTGCAAGATAAGCAAGAAGAAAATTTTTTTTAAATATTAAGGTGACCAATCGTAGTCTCTGGCACTTTATTAGTACAAGTGGGTAGTCTAGTCCGAAGACCAGACTACATGTTACATCAGCAAGAAGAAAATTTAAAAATTACAATAAATTTAATCATATAAGAATTATTATATGATATTGCTAAAGAACTTTAGTATAACTTTTTTTATTGAAATATATAATATATATATTTATTACAATAAATTTTAGAAGTTGACAAAAAAGACACTTTGTGCATATTCCAGAATAATAATTTTAGTTATTTGAAATAAATTTTTTTTTTAAAAAAATGTATTTTAAATAAATATATATAAGACTTTATATAGTATTCCTTAATCTGTAAATCATTTCCAAGCAAATTTGGCTGGAAAATTTTTATAATAGTAAATTGTTATTTTTAATACGTAAAACTAGTATATTTATTTTAATTCTAAGAAAAACTTGAATGTAGCACAAAAGTTTAATAAATTTTTTATTTGTAACACATACGACGTCATACGATTAACAAATATATTCATTGATTCTCTTTCCTGACATTTTGCCAATTTTTAATTTTTTTCATCTCTTGCCTAACATTTTGCCAATTTTACATAACTTACATACTTTTAGATAATCAAGATCGAAAAAAACTTAATTCCTAATAGCTTTTTTACGGTTAATATCTACATTTCTATTTTCTTACGATTTCATGAAAATATTTTATATACTTAATTAATAGTCGACATAAAAGCTGAAATCTTCATCTACATGATTCGAAAGTGGTTTTTAAAGATCAGGTTTAAATTTTTAATAAGTTTTTACTCAATGCCCTTATTATTATTTTTTTTTTCTTACTTTATTAAACAATTTTTTTTTTTTGCTAATATCGCATTGTTTAGACCCATGCCAGTTAGAAGATTAATGATGCAATTAATAGATCATATTAGTTTTGTAATATCGTGATAAACTTACTTTTTTCTGTTAATAAAATGAAAAAAATCTTTAAATCAAACTTCATTCATGACGTCCTGGCTAGAATAAATGTATATGTGACCATTATACAAACCTTAAAGATTATTCTTATCATTTTTTAGAGTGAAAATCTCTAAAGCAATGCAGTTTTGCCTTAGAGGCATATAGCGAAAATTTGCATTTGGCATACCATAAATTGCTTTGTAGAGGGTTATCAGAATTAATACTTTTTTTACCATGTTGTGCTAGATAATGACAATATACACAAGCCTCTTTTTTTTTTACCCATTCAACTAAATGGTCACTATCTAATAAGCGTGTTATGGATAGTTCAAAATTTTTATTTATAATGATTCAATTTCACTTTAAATGGAGCTTGAAGATCTTGTAGTTCTTTTTTTTTCTCATTATCTAAAGTATCTCTGATCAAATCCCAAGCTAAATTAATTCTAAAATCTTTACTTGAAATATTTGAATTAGCCGCTTTACAATAAATAATTACACAATTTACAAGAACAGTATCTAACATCTAAAAAAATAGAGGGAGCCAAGTGTGCCTAATGGTTAATTGACAGTTGTAATACCTATGGAGTTGGTTAGTAATGTCGACACCACCCATGTTGTGGTTATAATTATCGATTTATTTGTGGAATCTCTAATTCTTTACGATATTCATTCCCAAAAACCCAATGTACCATATTTGCATTTGAACTTGTTTTACGTGGTCATCGTCTATTACTAACAACCTTCCAACTTTCACCAGAAATCTCATGAATAGTAGTTAACATAGTCACCGGGCCATTATTTATCTAGAGAATGGCCAAAATATCGTTACTTATTTTTCTATGAGTGTGTTCCAATCTAATAATTCTTCTTTACCAATTTTTAATTCTTTAGGGAATCCAGCTGAATTTGTACAAGTGGTACCGCAAGCGCCAATGCCATTTTCACGTAGGTATTTAAAAAGTGGTATACTGGAAAAGTAGTTATCCATATATACATGATATATTTTATTATTAGGTAGCATATGGGTTAAATGTACAACCAAACATCCAATATTGTTAAGACTGGAAACAAATTCTATTAGGTTATCTTTTTCAACTTGTGATGTAAATACAAATACCCAAGTATAACCATAATCGCAAAGTGAAATAATCTTGTACCCTTCTGGGGTCAGCTTATTTTTCATTCTTACTATATGAATACTTCGTCCAGAAAAACATATAATCATTTCATCAAGCGATACATTCGAACTAGGAACATAAAATTTTTTAATTGCACTTTGGATATGGAATGCAAAAGGTTCTACTTTAGAATACCAGTGTGGGTGGGGTTGGCCTGGTGTTGAAATATGAAAAAATCTTTTGATTTGTTCAAATCTAAACAGAGACATAAACCTTTTGATTTCATGATTTGCCTTTTTTTTATTCTAATTCCATAAATTCTTTCATTGCGTTAATCTGATAAACCCCCATGTAAATAATTAGCCTGAGCCAAATTTTTAATTTATTTAAGGTTAGTGGATTCCAAACATGACCACTCTCTCTACCTTTTATTTGCTCATATATATTGGTATTTTCAATCATTAAACGCAGTTGCTCATTAGTAAAAAACAATTGAAAAAGCGCAAGTAGATTTACAATGCCTAATTGATATTCGTGGGGAAGTATTATGTAGCCTCTGTGAAGAGGATGATGATTTTGAATAGGGTCAAAGGTGGGTAATTCTAACAGTGTAAATTCTAGATTTAAATTGCTCTCAATTCCTTTTCCTTTACTCTTTCCCTTCCCTCTTTCTCTACCAACTCCCCTACCTCTTTCTCTACCCCTTCTCTAATACCCCCATCTTTACCTCTACTTGTATCTCCCTCCGATTCTTCTACATGTTCTTGTTCATTTATTGAATTATTGGTGACTTTTACCAGTTCATAATCGATGATTAGCTCACCATGGTTATCATATTTGAAAATAATTACATATTGCAAGCCAGAATCATCATTAGAGGTAGTATTATCAAAAGATATGAATAGCGATTATTTTTGTTTTTTAAAAAAAAAATAAAGGAATGACTGCAATGTATCATAACTTTATTATTTATTTTATTTATTTATTTTTAAAAAAAGTATGATGCTCGCTTTATGTTGAAATATTAAGACAGAAAGTGTAGTGAAAGATATATTAAGCGAAAGCAAAAAAAAAATAATAAAAAAATAAAAAAATGATAGTCTGAGTAAAAAGATAAGTCATTAACTACCTCCAAGGCTAAGAGTGCAACTACTTGCACTGCTATAATTCTTAGATTTTATTTGATTTTTTTTTTTACCATTTGGCAAAGTATGCATGTATGCATACATACATACGTATATACAAGAATTATTAAAATAAAAAAGAAATATACATGTGTACATTCATATTTAGTTAGCCCTTTTTTTTTGTTCTTTGTTTCATGCAGCAACATTTAAAGCATTCGTGTATTTTTGTTTCCCTATTTGAACTTTTTATTTCAATAATTTTTGTATATACGTATGTATATATATATGTACAAGAATGTCACCAAAGATTTGTCAATAAAATTGTGTTATATGAAAAATTTTTTAAATGACAACTCAGGTTCTTCCAATTTAGAGTTAGTTGAAAGATTTGTCAATTTCTAAAATCATGTACCGTATTCCAGGCAAATTTGCCTGGAAAAATTTTTCAAATGATGACTCAGGTTCTTCCAATTTAGAGTTTGTCGATCCCAAAGATTTGTTAATTTCTAAAATTGAGTTGTACCATATTCCAGACAAATTTGTCTGTAAAAAAATTTATTCTCAAAATGACTCAGGTTCTTTCAATTTAGGAGAATTATGCATTAGGAGGGCTTTTACTTAATGCAATTTAGTGTTATGATAAAAATTATTACTTGATTTGGATTTTTCAGGCAAATTTGTTTGGAATACAGATTAAGAAATAATATATATTAGTAAGTAGTGTTAAAGAAATTGGCATTCAGAAATCTGATTTCCTTTTTTTTTTTTTAATCTGCAAATTTTATATTTTTTTTTACAAACCACAATAACTTATTATTATTGCCCAATTTTTTTAATTTAAATATTTTTTTTTAAAAAATATATATTATTGTGGTTTGTATAGTTTTGTAACTCTTATGATTAGTTTTTTTTATGATTAAATAATTGTAATTGTGATCATAATTGTTAAAGCTAGTCAATTTATTATAAATCTGAACTTGATACAAACTTAGATTTATGATAAATTGGCTGGCTTTAGCAATTACGATCACAATCACAATTATTTATTTATAAAAAAATTAACTATAAAGGTCATAAAATTATACAAACTGCAATAATTTAATTACTTAAATAGTATTTTTTTTTTTTTTTTTTTGATGATCATGTTACAACTTTATTTTAATATAGATTTTACATTTTCAATAAAATGTAATTTCTATTTATAGCTAAGCTATTTTTAAACCTAAAGTGTAGCTCACCCGGTTGCCTACTAGTGCCTATATGCGACTTGCCAAAGTAGAATTAGTCTCGCTACTTCTTCTTAATCTACTGTAGATTTTGAATACACAGTTTCTTGGCCAGGATCTACAGCCTGTCATGATCTATTTAATTTTTATTTCAACTGAACCACTTGCCGGTCCATACCTATCTATTTACTTCCTCTACCATTATGTCCAGCCCTTCTTTAAACTTATTCCACCATCTTGGTCTATTTCCTTTTCCCTTATCTTTATTTCTGTTGGTAGAAGATGGATCTTTAGGTTTCTTCCCTCGTTTCTTCTTTGAGATGAAGCTATTTGGAGCACTTCTTTTTTTTCTCTTTTTTTCCTTGGGGTTAATGTTCAGTTCTTTTTTCTAGTTTGCTACTTTATCGCATCTTTGCAGCCAGATTATGTTTTGGAAAAAAGCATGCCACTTGTCCCACTATTCCAGTATAATTGCCTCTGAGCTTTGGATTGGAATACCTATCAATTGTAGAAAAGTTGACACTTCTGTCTCAATTAGCCCTCTTGCTATTTCCTTTCTTTTTCGTAAATTTTCTTCTTTTTCTTTACCCATAAGAGTTTGGTACAGAATGTCTGTGGAAAGCTTCTTCTTTATATGTGGATCTAGATTGTTCTAAATTTCTTTTACAATTTCCTGCTCCTTATTTGCCCACTTTACTGCATCAATCTCACAAGTGGATAAGTGGTCAAAATCTTCTTCCTCTTGTTCACACTTTTTGCATAATGCTGATAGATAAAGATCTTGTCAGTTTCTTCTACAAGCATTGAGTATAGGAAGTAATTTGTTTAAGCTTTTGAGTCTAAAATTCCATCTTTTGTTAGATCTAAAGGTTCTTTCTTTTTTTTTTTTTTCTTTAATCTACAGACTCTTAAAGATTTTCCAATTCTGTTTCATAGATCTTTGTTAGTGAATCAAATCCTTAGCGTTGTTAGCAAATAGCTATTCTGCCTTTTGAAGTGTGTAAGTAATTTTTTAACAAAGCTATGGATTGGGGCTTCAATTGCACTACTCTTCCACATTGGCCTAAAAATTATACTCTGGGTTTCATTAATAATAGTATTTGTTACTTCTGTTTTATTAGAGCTTTTTTTTGCTGCCTTGTCTGCTAAATCGTTTAATATATCACTAGTGTGGGCTTTGATCTTAAAGAACTGTATATCTAAATTTTTAGTGTTTATATTTTTAGCAATAGCTCCAAGTATGTTGAGATTTATAGCTTTGCACCATGATCTTGTGCTTTTAGTTTTTCCAATTTTCTCTATTGCTTGGATTGCTGCTTGGCTATCTGTAAAGATATTAATCTTGCAGTTGGATAGCGAAATTAGTAGTGCTCCCAAAATTGCCATAAGTTTTGATCTAGTGGACGAGAACCACCCTTAAATTCTACCTTTTAATTCTCTTATTATATTACCTTTCTCATCTATTTGTATTATACCATACCCTGCCTTATGATCTTCTACCCCTCCTTCTCCAAGTGAGCCATCTGTGTAGTATGCTATTTCTCTATATACATGATTTTCTTCAACCACTTGAATTAGTTCCTGTTGTTTAGACTTATTTTCTATAGTGTTTTTCACCAGGTATGTTTTCTAATTATCTATATAAACTTGATATACTACTTCTGATTCTTCTATTTTATTTCGGTTAATTTCTTCTGAGGCAACCAAGTCTTTGAGATACTCTAAACCAATAGAAGCAGCCCAACCACCTTCAATTTTCCTTTTAATCTATGGGCTAATATCTTCTAAATTGCTTTCCTTTGCTTTTAATACATTGGAGGTGGTAACTAATTTTGAATTGGAAGAAATTGTATAAGGCGAGTTTTCTTTATTTTTTTTGTCCCATTCTAGTATATAGACCTTTCTATATGAGAATTTCTTTTGGATTCTTCCAATAAAGTGCAAGTTGTTTTCTTCTTTTGTTTCTAGAATCCATTCTTTCTTTGATCTTTTATACGATATTCTTTTCTTTTTTGTTCTTATTTGTTTCTCGTTTATCCCATTATCTTGTATTAAGGACTCTTTGACTTTCTAAAAAACTTTATCTATAATTACTGTCTCTTTTAATCTTTGGAACCAAAGAGGTACCCGTCCCATTGTTGATACATTCTGTACTCTACGAATTTATTGCCAAGTGAGCATGGAGTTGTTATATCGTGAGATTATTTGTTCTAAATACCAAATGTTTAATTTTTTAAGGCTTATACTGCTTTTTTCCAGGTTTTTTTTTTGGATTAGCCCTCTTAGTTCGTTAATTGGACCATTTCTTGGAGCTATATTCCAATTTACTTCCCAGTTTGGGTTTTTAATATTAATCTCTAATTTTTTTACTGCTGCTAGTATAGCTGTGTTGAGATTGTTTTTCTATTTGTAGAGCTTTATTTCTTCACATGATAGAAGCTATACTGGCTTTGTAGATCTGAGTGTAAACTGAGCCTCTTTTAACTAAATGGTAATTTTTTATAATTTAGATTTTTTATTTATTTTATAATTGTTTTTAAATAAATAGTAGTGTTGTAGTGAAATTAATGAAAAAGTGTGTTAGGGAAGAGTAATGTTGGAAAAGAAGTGTCAGGGAAGTGTAGTACAGGGAAAGAATAGTGTTTAAAAAGAATAGTGTCAGGAAAAAGTAGTATTGAAAAAGAGAAAAGGTGGTGTTGAGGAGAGTAGTGT